GTGATGATTGCAATACTGAATGCGAAAAATTCAAATGGGCGGGAAGAGGTTGATGAAAATTTTAAGTAAAATGGAGCAAAATAGCTGTGCCTAAATCTGCTGTTGATCCAGCATCTTCCTTATTTTCTATTAGTGTTCCCACACCTACTGTAGCAAAACAAAATCTATAAGTGTATACCAAGTGGAAGACAGTGGCCCCGACGTTCTTCAGTCCAAAAGGCATCACTTTGTAGTAGTAAATGCCGTGCTCGGTGATGAATGAGGTCTTTTTTTCGTCGTCGAGGTGCATTTTTATCTGGTGGTAGCTGGAGAAGGCGTCCATGAAGCTTAGTAGTTTGTACCCCGTGGAGGCATCGACGAGACGATCAATCCTTGGCAAAGGAAAGCTGTCTTTGGGGTAGGCCTTGTTGAGATCTGTGAAGTCAATACATATAAGTCATTTCCCATTAGCCTTCTTAACCATGACCACGTTAAATAGCCATTTAGGGTAGTGTACCTCTCTTATGAAGCTAGCGTAGAGTAGCTTGTCCACCTCCTCTCCGATGGCTTTCCAACGTTCTAATGCAAAGTTCCTCTTCTTTTTCCGAACCGGCTGACAACTCAGGTCCACACTTAGCCTGTGAATAATGACCGAGGGGTCAATTCCTGGCATATCAACGGCAGACCAAGCAAATACATCGGTATTGGCTTTAAGGAAGCTTACCAATTCGGAAAATGTGTCCTGGGGGAGGCGAGACCCGACTCATACTGTTTTCTCGAGGTCGGCCTCATCTAGGGGAATTGCGATGAGGTCCTCGGCCAGTTAGCCTCGACTGGATGGTTTGTCCCTGAGGTCGAGTCCCTCTAGTGGTAGGGTTTCTTTGTTCTTGCCTTTTAGTGCGGCAACGTAGCACTACCTAGCAGCTTGTTGGTTTCCCCTAACTACTCCTACACCATGATCTATGGGGAACTTCATGGCGAGGTGGTAAGACAAGATGACCGCCTTGACTGCATGAAGGGTCGACCTCCCTATGATGGTGTTATAAGGGGAGCCTATCTTCACGACCAAGAATTTAGTTATCTGAGTGACGTGCAGAGGCTCGGTCCCTACGATGAAAGGCAGGGTTACCCTTCCTTCAGGTCTGATAGCTACTCCAGAAAACTCGACGAGTGGCACATCAGCGAGTTGTAGTCAGTCTGGTGTCAACTGCGCCTCAAATGTCTCATAGAACAGAATATTAGCCGAGGAGTTGTTGTCTATGAGGATCCTTTTCACCATGTAGTTGGCAATGACCATCGACACCACCAACGTGTCGTCGTGGGACACAGAAACCCCTTGTAGGTCGTCATTTGACAATGAGATGAGGTCTTCCGGCCTCGACCTCTTCAGCGTCTGTCTCTGAATGTTATACTGCCTAGTTTATGCCTTTCAAGACAAGGCGGATGCACCCCCCAAGGCCGAGCCCCCGGCTATAACTTCAATGATTCCAGCTAGGGGGCGATGGACCTGGGGCCCGGCCTGTAGCTATTGCAACGATGATGCTAGGGTGTCGCCTTCAACATAATCCTTTAAGTGTCCACAGTAGATGAGGGACTCGATCTCGTTCTTGAGGTCATAGCAATCCTCGGTTTCGTGGCCAGTGTTGCAGTGGTACTTGCAGTACTTCTTGGGGTTCCTCTTCAATTTGGCTAGCCACTTCATAAATTCCTCCTTCCCTATTTGCATCAGTATGTGCATTCGAGAGGAGTTTAGTGGTGTGTACTTGTCGAAGGAAGGGGTCGACGGCTTCTTCCCACTACTCTTGCTGGTGGGGACGTCGTCGCGAGTATCCCTTTCCTTCCTCTTCTTGTTGTTGGGACCAACTTCTAGGTTTTGGAGGCGTTTGTTGGCTTTGGCCTCCTCAGCGACGATGTACTTCTGGACCTTCTTCAGAAATTGGGCTTTAGTCTTGGGCGGATTCTTGGAGATGGACCAACTGAGGGGCCCCGGTCGGAGTCCGCTGATGGCCACGACCATGGAGACCGAAGGGTCGAGATCCCTGACCTCTAGTTCCTCCTGATTGAATCTTTTGATGTATGCTCGAAGGATTTCTTCGGGCTTTTGCTTGATGGACATCAAGGAGATGACGACTTTTTTACATTGTCGACTGCTCAAGAAATGGGCTGGGAAGAGATTTGCAAACTGGTCCCAAGAGTCGATGGAATGTGGAGGCAACATCAAGATGGAATCCACGAAGGCCTCCATCCGAGTAGACGAAGCATGACAGTTGACCGAGGCATCACCTCAACCCTCCTTTATCTACTAAAGTTGATCCTGACGGGCGCCAATCTACACTTGAATATCTCCTAAGCGTTGGTCGATACATGGCCTTAGTCCATCAGCCTAGTCCTGGCTCTCCTTCATGCGGGACGGGTCGGCCCTGTTCCTGGAGTGCTCGGATGTCGGCGCATCTTAAGCTTTGCGGGCACGGTGGTCATTGAGGAGGTTGCAGTGGTCAAAGACCGGTGGGGGAGAGGCGTGGCATAGACTTCTAGCCCTTGGAGGGGGACTGTAGTGGCCTAAGCGCCCACCGTCGTCTCGGCTGATTGACCGGCGATGGTGATGACAATCGCGGTCCCTGCGCTCAAGGTGGGACCCTATGGGGTCGCCCCTTCAGCTGGGGAGCCAAGAGGTCTTTGAACGGGGCTTGCTAGCCCATCGATTGCTGCTAACAGATTCCACGAAGTCGGCCTCCTCCGGGCCGCCCAAGCACTGCCTCGACGAGGCATAGGCAGATCGCTCGTTGTGCTGTCTATGGCTTCCGAAGGGGCAGCCACCTTGTAGGTGGCTTCCTGTCGGGCACCCTATATCATCCAAACGCTAGGCCAAGTGGTCTAGTTTGTCCAGGACCAGTCTAAATTGGTCGATCGTGACTAAGTTCTGAGTGTTAGGAGCAGGGTCTTGCTTGTCACCCATTTCGGAATCACTATTTGATTAAGTCTGGTTTGTTTTCTTAAGAAAGGGCAACAATGTAATTTTAGGTATCTGAGGTCGACGGGTCCAACCTGCTGAGAGAAAGAAGACGTCAAAGGCCCTAGGATCAAGGTTTAAAATTTCAGTACGATACGCCCGATACAAGGCGTATTGTATCGTATCTTTGAAAAGTAGATACGGGATAGGCATGGAAATCCGATGTTTCATCTTTTTTATGCATATTAGACCCGTATCAAGGTGTATTGGGGGTGTATCGGGGCATATCGGTAGCGTATCAACAAAAAAGATACGACCAAAAACTAGAAAAAAAAAATTAAAGGGGGAAAGCAAGCTTCTTTTCCCCGAAATAACCCTTCTTTCACCCCCAAATGACTCTAAAACTCCAAACTTCATTCCTAGAGTGCTAGATTTGCAAAAGTTTGTAAGAAACAAGTGTGAATCGTTAATTTTTTTAAAGATTTTTAAATTTTTGAAAAAATATGACAAAAATAAGTACATTTTTTCAATTTTTTATAATATCTTGTGATTTCTTTTTTTTCTTGAATGTTTAAATTTATGTTGATCTACATTTCTTACATTCAAAATCACAATTTTTTTTTTGGTGTTATCAGTAGATTTATGGAAATTTCATGAAGATATTTGGAAAAATATAAATTAACAAAAAATTTGAAAATGTAATTTTTTCTCTGCCTATAAAGACTAAATATTTTTAGATCTATGGATTTATCTATCATATCCATAGAGCAATTGAAATTTCTTCTTTAATATCTTTTTTGATTTTTTATATTTTTAGAATTAAAAAATAATTAATAATTAATTATATTTCATCATTTATATTAGAGTTCAGCCTACCTGTTAGACTGATAACAGTCAAGGAAAAGAGAGAAGAGAGAAAGAGAGAAAGGAGAAAAGTAGAAGAGAGGACAAGGAGGAAAAGGTCTGGTTCGAATAAGAGAAAAGTCAACCCTCCCATTCGGCCAGATCTATTTATATTACTAAAAATATTGTGGAAAAGTCACATGCGCCCCTACTTAGGTTAGGGACATTAGATCTAACATAAACCACGACCAGTAGCCCCCTTTAAATACCTCACAATCCTTAAAACCGCATCCCACTGTGGAACCAGAGGTTTCTGCATGAACTGACTTACCACACTAACTGCGAATGAAATGTCTGGTCGAGTGATGGTTAAGTAGTTTAGTTTACCTACCAGCCGCCGGTATCTACCAGGGTCTTCAAACACTTCACCCATATCACCGCTCAGCTTAGTGTTTGTTTCCATAGGTGTTTCAGTTGGTTTAGCACCTAACAAACCTGTTTCTCCAAGCAAATCAAGAACATATTTCCTCTGACACAAGTTAATACCATGCTTAGACCTTGCTACTTCTATCCCCAAGAAACACTTCAATTTACCAAGGTCCTTTGTCTGAAAATGTTCCTACAGAAAAGTCTTTAAACCTGTCAATGCCCATTTTGTCATTTCTAATAATGACAATATCATCTACATACACCACCAATAGGATCTTCCCTGCCTGAGAGTCATGACTAAAGACTAAATGGTCAACTTGGCACTATTTCATACCAAACTTCTTTACCACCTCGCTAAATCTGCCAAACCATGCTCGAGGAGACTGTTTAAGCCCATAAATGGCCTTCAGTAGTCGGCACGCCTTACCATCCTCCCCCTGAGCAACAAACCCCGATGGTTGCTCCATGTAGACCTCCTCGAGCAGATGATCACCATGCAAGAAGGCATTCTTGATATCAAGGTGATAAAGGGGCCAATCATACATCGCAACAAGAGAAACCACAACATGGACGGAATCAATCTTAGCAACCGGGGAGAAAGCCTCTGTGTAATGAATACCATAGGTTTGGGAATACCCTTTGGAAACCAGTCTAGCTTTCAGCCGCTCTACACTACCATCAGGTAAGTATTTAACCGTATAAACCCACTTACAACCAACAACCTGCTTACTAGGAGGAAGAGTGGTGAGTTTCCATGTATGATTATGGGCCAGAGCTGAGAGTTCTTCCATTGCATAGCACCATCCTAGAGAGGCAAGGGCTTCCTGGACATCCTTAGGGATAACAACAGAGGATAACAAAGAGATAACCTGGCGATGGGAAGCGGAAAGGTGAGTCAGTGAAACATAATTAGAAATAGGATGAAGGGTACAACTACATTTACCTTTCCGCAAGGCAATGGGAAGATCAAGATCAGATATTGGGGTTGGGGCTGGTGTGGGAACAGCTGCCGGATCTGTCGACGATGATGGAGCTGGAGGAAGAGCCGGTATATGTGGGCGATGTGTATACACGTGATGAATAGGTGGTCGTTCAATAGGTGGTGGCACCGGAGGCAAGGAATTGGTCACAACTGGAAGAGGAAGGGGAGGAGGTGATGAAGAAGAAGAAACATCACCGGACCCCAAGAAAAATGGAGTAGACTCAAAGAAGGTAACATCATCAGCACACACAAAGGAACGTCAAGAGCTGGGATGATAACACTTATACCCTTTCTGAGTCCGGGAATAGCCAAGGAAGATGCACTTAATAGATCGTGCATCTAACTTATCCTTTCTTGGCCCAGATTATGAACGAATTAAACACACCCAAAAACCGAAGGAGAAAGAGGAAACGGAGACAAGGATAGACGTGGGCATTAGGTTAATCAAGAAGTAAGAAGTAAGCATTGCATCACTCCAAAAAGATTTGGGGACATTCATGTGATGCATGAGGGATCGAACTGTTTCCAAAAGATGACGGTTCTTTCTCTTTGCCACCCCATTTTGTTGTGGGGTGTAGGTACACAAAGTCTGATGGATAATGCCATGTTGGTCTAGGTATTCTTGAAATGATGAAGAGAAATATTCACGGCCATTATCAAAACGAAAAATTTTACTGTGAACACCAAATTGGTTGCGAATCTCATCATAAAATTTTTGGAAAATAGTAAACAATTCACTCCTTTCTTTCATTAAATAGAGCCACGTCATCCTTGAATAATTATCAACAAAAATGACAATATTTATATCCATCGTATGACATTACTTTATAAGGACCCCAAACATCTGAATGAACCAAAGAAAAAGGACTCAACATATGGTTATCAACTCTAGGACTAAAGGGAACACGATGATGTTTCCCCAACTGACACGACTCACAATCCAAAACAGACATATGACTCAATGAAGTAACCAAAGACTTCAAAACTTTCAGTGAAGGATGACCAAATCTACAGTGCCACTGGAGAGGAGAAGGAGACGATTGGAGAGTTGTTGACGTACTTCCACCACCATCAAGATAATACAACCCACCAGCTTCATGCCCTCCACCAATCTTCATCCCCGTCTTGAGATCCTAAAAAAACACACAGAGGGGTAAAAGGTAGTGGAGCAATTAAGAGACTTGGTCAACTTACTAACTAACATAAGATTAAAAGAAAATTTAGGGACATACAAAACTAAGGATAAGGATACAGGGTCCATGTTAACATTACCAACACCACAAATGGAAGATGTGGAACCATTAGCAAGGGTAACACATTGTGATGTTGGGCTATGAGAGAGGGAAGAAAACACACCTTGAATTCCAGTCATGTGATCGGAGACTCAAGAATCAATAATCCAGGGATTGGGTGTGGATGCWARACAAGCCATACCTGAGTGTGCGAGAGTAGTCGTGTTCTGCTGAGATGTGACCTGAACAAACCTCTCATATTCATCACGGGGAACACTCATCATTTCCTTCCCAGTAACATCTATGGATGTAGAAGGTATATGATCAGCTGAATGACTCTCCTATCTGAAGCTACTATCACTAGTCACGGCATGATTGGCCCAAGTTGAGGATGGACCATGCAAGTCATAGCAATAATTAATGGTATGTCCATCCATACCATAGTGTGTACACCTCCTCGAACCCGAACTACGTCCTTTGCCACGGGCTCCCCCTGAATCTCAACCTCCGGTACGACCACCACCACGGTTATATGTAGGTCCACTACACCACTCTGGCCATATGCCGATCCACTACTGCCACTATGGCCAGAATGAGCTCCCTGATCTCCACCTCTAACACCACGGCCTCTAGATACTGCAAAGACTTATCTATCGGAAACATTAGGGTTCTCGGTAGATCCAATGGAAATCCTCCTAAGTCGAGCAAACACCTCTTCTAAGGAAGGGAGAGTTGACCCTCCTAGTATCTGAGCTCACACTGGTTCATACTCAGATTTCAGCCCCACCAAAAATCGAGTCGCATCAAGTTGTTCCCTCTGTTGTTGCTAAATTTTGACATCAGAAGTGAGGGGGTGATAAACATTCAATTCATTGCAAATGTTTCTCATACTAACATAGTACTCCTCAAGACTCTGATTACCCTGTTGTAGATTAAAGTATTCCTAATACAACTGATATACTCTGGTTGTATTATCTTGGCCCGATTACAGCTTCTTAGCATGGTCCCACACTTCTTTGGCAGTATCAAGAAACATGAAATTTACACTAATCTTGGGTTCCATACTATTCCATAACCATGTGATAATATGTGCATTTGCTTGCTCCCAATCATCATACTCATAAGAATCGGTGGAGGGTTTTTCGTCCCTTATGTGTTTCACCTTCTTCTTTGCCTTAAGAAAGACTTCTACAGATTTAGCCCAAGGTACATAATTTTCTCCATTCAGCTTAATCGAGGTCATTTGAACATTCAGGTAATCAGTAGGAACCATCACACTAGTCTTGCTATCACTATTGTCTCCCATTGCTGAATTCGGCACACTAGACCACACTACACACTGATTTCAGCACTTATTATTGCTGTAAACTGCACCCTTTACACCACAAACCCTACCTCACGACTACCTGAAACTTCACCACACTATTTGAGGAACACTTCCCCTACGAATCACACTAAAAACTGCACAAACCCTAGCACACTACAATCTGAAATCCCACCATAACGTCTGAAAAAGACTTGTCATTTAATTCACACCAAGAGAATGCATAGAACCTCTTACCTTATCATTCGAAACTCAAACCACACAAAGCACCCACTGCACCACACAAATCAGCCCTCTTCTCTTCATCAATTAGGGGAGGGCTTCTTAGAAACTACAACAACCGACCACGAACAACACAACTGGAGGCATAGAAACCTCCAAGGGAAGAGGGTGAACACTCCTTTTCAGCCCTTTCCCTTATCTCCAACTGATGGCGAAGAAAGCAAGAGAAAACCCTAGACTAGGTGCGCAGAGAACAGAATTCTAGGCAGATCCGATTTGCTCAGTTTAGCTCTGATAC